CAGATGCCATGTCTACTAAGCTACCCTGGACATATTTTTTTGTTCGTAAATATTACGAATCCATCCCTGGACCCTTTTATTTTTCCGTTTATCATTACCCTTCACAATTCATCCTTTCATACTTCATCCCTAAGAATAGGAATAGTCGTTATTTCTCCTTAATTAATAAAAATTACGATTTTTCGTTTTGTAAAAAGAAACATTTGCGGTAAAACTTGTTAAAAGTCGTTCTACAAAGACATTATATATAACGGCGAATAATATTGGTATTTCAATTTTTTGCAAATGTTTGCGGACTTTTGGGACAACCTTGTACAGGTGGAATGGACTTACTTCATCTCCCTAACTTCCATGGATTCTCCAGTTGGCTTACTGCAGTACTGGCAACATCTGCAGCTGTAGATGATTCAAACCAGAGAATAGACACATTGTTCCTTTCTGACCTCAATTTGATGATAAATCCTATGATAGATTTGTGTAAGGATAGAAACGATTTCACATTCTAGAAACCAAAAAGATATTTCCACAGAATAATTATTTTGAATACTCTGTTGTTTATCATCATAAATATTTGCATAGTCATCACCCCTTACCATGCTTGTATATTATCACTTGTAAATTAAATTATAAAATAGTTGTGCATTCAAACTATAATAGAAAAGCTGAGACAATGCAACCTAATGGAAATGGTTTAAACGACTTGAGGAATAAGCAACAACATTTTTCAAACGCCTAGAAATCATTAATAAATAAACATCTTGAATATTGAGCAATCCAAATGAAATTATTAATTAAAAGGCTTCTAATATGTATCTAAAATAAAGCAAAACATTTTATTTTATTACAAAATGCCAATATTTCAATAGGCTATATGCTTAACTACGTCAAGGCATTTCTTGTTTTTAAACTGTTTTGGTTGATCATGCGATGCCTTCACGCGACGATATATAAAATACGAACCGAGATCAAATCCCGCATTGAGCACTTTTTTTCTAATTAAAAAAAATGCTCCAATGACCCCCAATTCTTGCAAAAGTCAAACCCCACCAGCAAGTGTTAATAAACAAACGGGGCTCTGACACATTTGTAAGTACAAAAGTCGAACTGATTTTCACGTGTGTAGACATATGGTGCACTTAGAGTTAAAAGAAGTCACCAACTTCTACCCACCATGATTACCATGCCCTGTACCACGTGTACTAAGGATAATAAAAAAAGCACTGTGTTGAATTCAAGACGTATATGCAATTTATTTATTTACTAGCGGATGTACCTGGCTTCGCCCAGGTTTTTCTCGAGGGAATGTTTGTAGTCTAGTAATAAGAAAATATACTACACCTAAAAACTATCAGAGAAAAGAGAAACCACGGAAGGTGAACAGAAAAATGCTTACAATGGATGTTATGTTTACGATATCAAGTTAAATAAAAACAAAGATAAAATTTGCATATGTTGGTCACTATAAATTTGTATATTTGTTAGGCGAAATTAGAAACATGATAAAACAATTGGGTATTTAAAAACAAATGTAGAAATAAAAGTTGAAGTATAATAAACAATGTTAAAGATTAGTTTTAATTATTAATCAAGATTGTGTGTGAATATGTGAGAAAGTTGTAATATCGTTGTTGTTTTCTTGGCCGACTGTTTTACATATGGTGTTATCTTAAAATTGCTTGTTTTGAATATTTTCTAGATTGAGATTATTAGCTAGTATGTAAAAAAATTAACTCTGTTGAAATTTAATTTTGTATTTATATATAAATAAAATTAACTCTATTGATTTTTTTTTGTATTTAATCGATAACAGCGAAGTTACGCATGTTAGTGTTAGGAAATATATTTTGATGTTAAGCAAAACCTGCTCCATCTCGTTTTACATAAATGTTGAAAATTTGGTTGAAATTGATGCATTGTAACGAAAGTTTTTAGTGATGTCCACTTATGAAATTTCAATTTTATTAATATAGATTTCAACACACAAAACGCGATAAGCGATATTTTTTAAACAGAAACGGTTATAAGCATATTATGCAAGAAAAGGTAATCAAAAATAAAAAGAGAAACAATAATATATATTGGGAACCTGAACCTTTCAGGTTTGAAAGAAAATCATGAAAATATATATATTTACAAAAATAGTTAAACTTATGATAATTCTCTCTGCTATTTACAAATTGATATATATCTACAACATTATTTATTGTCTCTTGTCTAGCGGTGAAGAAGAGTGGGCATTCCAGCAGTAGGTGTCTCGAGTCCTGGAATTCGTTGCCACATTGACAGCTAGTCTTCAATCGCGCCAATTTTTGATTAAAATCCCTTAAATTTTCCATGGTTCGTTATAAACTGGGTATTATAAAAATTGGAGCGGAAATATGTTGGAATTCCAAACGGGAAAAAAGACATATATACAAGGAAGACGATATCCCAATAGACGCTAGAATGAAAAAGTCGCTATTAAAGTAGAAGAAGCGATGCTAGAATGAAATAACCGCTCTTTAGGTAGAAGAAAAATGAATTTCAAAATCCAAGGAAATCCATCTCTGGAACACGTCAGATCCATGTCACCAACAACAAGAATTGCATGCGGTGAGTCACAGCTTCCATAAGGAAGGAAATATGTAGCAGAATATATTCAGTTCTTAATCAAAAATGATAAAATTTATATATTTTGCTTCTCACCATATTCTTATTGCCTCTCTATTATATTATAACAAAGTATTTATTAATTTTATTATTTTTATTAACAGAGTGGTCATTTTATGTTTATATTTTGCTACTCTGTAAATTTCCCTCTTAGCTTATCTTTTGTTTACCATTCATAGTTTGTCCTTTCCTGAAATAAATTGTTGCCTCCTCCTGAAGTTTTTGTCTTCCCTAATTTTCCAAGTGACATTTTGGTGGAGATGCTGGGTAAGTTAGGGAAGACAAATTGAAGACCGCCGAGAAGACCTTGAAGCCATGGGTGCTGTGATCTACATTTTCGAAGACTGACTCCAGGATTCCACCGCCGTGCCAAAGCCAAGACTTCCATCGAAGATGACGATGCCCCTATAGACGATACGACGACAAATCCGCCTTCACGCCGCAAGAAAAAGGACGCAAAAGTACTAGGGACAAAGTTTTTGTCTTCCCTAATTTTCCATGTGGCAATATTATGCTTAATTATTTTTCATTCTATTAATCACCCAGGCGCAATATTTGCGCCTATTACAAAGGCAACAAACAAACCAACAATCAATTTAAAACTTAGAATATTTACAAATTTACATGTATTATTCGACAGAGTTCAAAAGATTTATATATACAAAGTAGCAGAAGTAAGAGTTAAATTATTTAGATCAGGGAACAAACGTGGTCTCATTTCTGTAAAGTCCGGACAGTCATAAGGTAAAATTTGTTCAGTTTTTCCGCAAGAACTATTAGATGTTTCTGATGCTAATAGTTTTAAATTGCTATAATTAGAATTAATGGTCATTTTTACGTTTTACTTTCCTAATGCGATCATATAATCAAATATACAAGAAGTTTGAATATACATGTTATATAAAGGTATTATTTAAAATGTTATATAAAAATATTATATTATTTTATTTAAAATCATATTTTCATAGATTCAAATATTCTGCTTAATCGACCGCCAGAGGTCACACTTCCCCTATAAAAACTCGTTGTTGTTCTTCCCCGTTGGCCGGCTCAAACCTTTTGTACATTATGTAAATAATATTTTGTTTTCCTTGTTCTACTCGCCTTAAATCAGGCAGTACTTCTAATCAAATTATGTTCTTTTATATAACATACATATATTTTATCATCGCTGTAAAGACAGCAGAAAATTGCGTTTTATTTGAAAGATTAATTGTGCTGTGAATAGGGACATTTCTCATATCCAAAGTACAGTATAGATGGAGATTTTGCGCTAGGAAGGATATTCATCTTGTATGTTAGTTATGTGAATAGAAACTATGTAAAACAACACTTGAAGTTACACCGCATGAGTTTCTTTTCAACGAAAAATCAAAATTTATTTCAAGGTGAAATATTGGCTATTTCTAACCTTTTTGGATGAGGTATGAAAGGGTGAATTATGAAGAGTAATGATGAACGGAAAAATAAAAGTGTCCAGGGATGGGAATCGAACCCAAAATGTTCCGCTTACTGGGCAGATGCCATGCCCACTAGGCTACCCTGGACGTATTTTTCCGTTCATAAATAATACATCTACTTATATATTTGCCTTATTCTGTCTGTTTGTCTGAAGCTCACGGATAGAATGCGCGCTCATTGGCTGCAAGGGAACACGTGTCCTCCCTGCCCCCCTCTAGACAACCCTGTTATTCAAAAACCATACATCCAATCGCCATGAAATTCTGGGATATTATTAGGTATATCCCCGGAAAGGTTTTCGAAAAATAATTTCTTGAATATCTTGAATATCCTTAGAGTTATTTGCAGAATTGTAGATATAACTCGCAAGCAGCGCCGCCAGACGGTGATAGGCTTAAGCTTGCTGCTCCACCCCTGTTGACCTTGGGTCGTCGTGTGAGTCACAGCATGATGCAACAAAAAACACTCTCTCTGGGGATTGCGGCGTCAACAACCTGTAAGTTTGTGCCTCTCTCATAAACCTGTCTATACAGACCACCCTGTCTATAGCGACCACTCTAGACAACCCTGTTATCAGCTGTGTGATACATCCACCTGTCTATACAGACCACCCTGTTAATAGCGACCACCCAAGTCAACGTTTATAGAATATATTCGCACTCGGGTAAACCCCGGGCGTTGCCCGGGCCATTCGTCTAGTAACTAATAATACAATATAATACACTGCGGCTTGTGATTGTAAAACAACACTTGAAGTTACACCGCATGAGTTTCTTTTCAATGAAAAATCAAAAATTGTTTCAAGGTGAAATATTGGCTATTTCTAACCTTTTTGGATGAGGTATGAAAGGGTGAATTATGAAGAGTAATGATGAACGGAAAAATAAAAGTGTCCAGGGATGGGAATCGAACCCACAATGTTCCGCTTACCGGGCAGATGCCATGTCCACTAGGCTACCACTAGGTTTCTTTTATGCAAATAGTTATTTTGCATTTTTCTCTTTTGTTTTTATCTTTTTTCCTATATATAAAAAAGGAATGTTGCCAGTCCCGGTAGTATAGTGTGACTCGTGGCTTGAGGAGTAGAGCTCGTGACTTGAGGAGACCACACAGCTTGCTGATCAAATAAACGTAGCTTTTTGCAAGTCATTTAAAACGTTTCTTGAAGCATTACAAGGCGAGTTTTCTCAGTGGTTGATTTATCGGTGTGTATATATATATATATATGTTATATCAAGATATTATTTGAAATGTTATATTAAGATATTATTTAAAATGTTATATTAAAATATTTTATTTAAAAAATTATAATTTCATAGATATAAATATTCTGTATAAATCGACCGCCAGAGGTCGCGCTTTCTCTATAAATACTCATTGTTGTTCTTCCCCGATTGGTCGACCCAAAACATTTGTACATTATGTAAATAAGCTTTTCTTTTTTTTTATTATTACGCCTTAAGCCAGGCAGTACTTTAATCAAATTATGTTTTCATATATATCACTTTAGCTCAAATAAAACAATATCTGATCAAGACTATTTTTATTATTATCTTTTCAAGATTTCAACCACGACTGCACCGCCGTAGCTTAATCCTCAAGATGATCCAAAACAACAGCAAATCTTATCTTTTTATTATTTATATAATATTAGTCGACAGGATGAAAGAGAGAAAATAAAAGTGTTCCGTAATCTATTGGTTAACAACAAACCAATATGATTACGGAACACTTTTATTTTCTCTCTTTGCATTTTCACTCTATGCCACATTTTCACTCTCCACCAACAATATTTGTAATAATTCACACTTTATATCATTTTGTATTTTCCTGTCTATTGGTTACCATATAAAAAACCAATATGATAAGTGAATATCACCTCTCACCTTTTCTTTCCATAAATCATTTTATCTTTTTTTTAACAATATTTTTTTTTATCACTTTTCTCTGGATGAACCCATATTATTTTCTTCACAGGGGGGAAATGTTATATTAAGATATTATTTTAAATGTTATATTAAGATATTATTTAAAATATTATATTAAAATATTTTATTTAAAAAATTATAATTTCATAGATATAAATATTCTGTATAAATCGACCGCCAGAGGTCGCGCTTTCTCTATAAATACTCATTGTTGTTCTTACCCGATTGGTCGTATCATTTTTCTCTATTATAAATTATTTTACTTCTCAACATTATTAAATTGAATCGGTGACAATTTCAGTTCGCCGCTAGCTCTCTACCTGCGAACATCTTTGCCCTCTTGCGCTCACCCCTGCCATGGCTCCCTCCAGGAAGAAAAAGAAGAATGCCGAGATCGCCGAGAAACCCCTCGTGACCCTCGCCCAACTAGAGTTGGAGAACCAGGAGGTGATGGACGACTCCGCGAATGCGTTAGCGCATCCTCCCCCTAGCTCCCAACAATAACTGTACCAAGTCATTGAGTACCTCGTCAGCCTCATTGCCGAGGTAGAGAACCTCTCTGGCACCCTCGCGTCCTTCCAGGATCTGGAAGAAACCAAGCCACAGACTGCCTGCCAATGCACTCAAACAAGCCCTGCTTCTTCCTGCAAGGAAACCAGCTCCCAGACCGACCCCACCAAGCCCGCCACTCCAGCTCCAACCAAAAGGAAGCAGCCAGAGGCTCCCTGCCCGCCCGCTAAGAGGACCAACCTCAGAGGTCCCGCGAAACCTGCGCCTTCCCGCCCCACCAAGCCTGCGGCCGCCCAAGTGGTCCTCCATGGGGATAAATCGGCGGCCCACACAGTGGTCATCTCCGATGACCCACAAGCTGACCCTAGAGCCATGCTCAAAGCTGTCTGCGCTGCCCACACTCTTCCCCAAGGCGTCTGGGCCTCCCTGCGGACCAAAGGGAAGCTCGTCCTCCACTCCAGCAACCCCGATACCATCCCGGCTGTCACCACCTCCCTGGCCGACAAGCTGCAAGGCATGAAGGTCCGCCAACAGAAGGTGCTCCTGCCTCGCATCTGCCTCTTCAAAGTGGAGGAGGATACGTCCAACTCCACCATTGAAGAGACGCTGTTGGGGACTCCCGCTGTCAGCCAACTACCTGGGGACAAGGTGGTGCGCGTGGCGCACCGTTCCGCTCCCAGAAACGGGACCTGCACCGCCTTCATCGAGGTGGACATCGACACCTTCAGAGCTCTGGGCAACCGCGGAAGGATCGTGGTGGACGGAGTGCTCCTCAACTTCGAAGAGTCCATCCGCGCACGGCTCTGCTTCCGCTGTTGTGGCTTCGGCCACAATTCCGCCCAATGCACCAGAGACTCCAAGTGCTTCCACTGCGGTGAAGGCGGCCATGAAGGCCGCGCCTGCCCCTCCGCTGCCGACCGGCGCACTTCCAAGTGCGCCAACTGCTGTGCCAAGGGCCTCTCTGACAAGCACGAGGCGAGAGCCTCGAGCTGCCCCACCTTGAAGCTTAGAGCCCTCAAGTTCTAGGCTTCCAGGGCCCCCTGCCTCCTCAACTGGCCACCTTCCGGGCTTCTCTCACTTCTTGGCGCTGCTTCCCTGACCTCTCCAGCTTCCTCCCCCCCCCCTGCCAGATCCTTGATCCTCTTGCCCCTGCCTCCTCCACCTCGGGGCGCTTCGCGCCCTTCTGCGGCCTGTTGGTGCCTTAAAATGCTTCTCAGAATAGCATGTAGAAGGCGGAATAATAGTAGAGGCTTTTTTATCCCATAGTTCCTTCCTGACAAGCACGAGGCGAGAGCCTCAAGCTGCCCCATCCTGAAGTCTAGGGCCCTCAAGTTCTAGGCTTCAAGTACCTTCTGCCTCCAACTCCATCTGCCACTTCTCCTGGATTCCTGGCCTATTCAACGCACCCGCCTCACTGCACCCTGGCGCTGTTCCCCTGCTTGCCCAACGTTTCCACCACCCCTGCGAGATATCTCCTGCCGCCAGATCCTAGGGTTCCTTGCCACCTGACATCGAGTTTGGGCTTAAAAATCATAACTTTTGGTTAGTAGCCCGTAAATAAAGATATTTTCTCTTCCCCGATTGGTCGACCCAAAACATTTGTACATTATGTAAATAAGCTTTTCTTTTTTTTTTTATTATTACGCCTTAAGCCAGGCAGTACTTTAATCAAATTATGTTTTCATATATATCACTTTAGCTCAAATAAAACAATATCTGATCAAGACTATTTTTATTATTATCTTTTCAAGATTTCAACCACGACTGCACCGCCATAGCTTAATCCTCAAGATGATCCAAAACAACAGCAAATCTTATCTTTTTATTATTTATATAATATTTAAATATATATATATATGTCGTGAACCCTGGTAAGTCAACAAGTGAGTTGGAAGCAGTCGGGATTGAGTGGCAAGGCGTACAGAGTGGGAAGTGCGCACGGAACAGTAAGGACAAAGTTTGGGATCAAAAGACGCTCTCCTAGTACGTCTAAGGTGGCACCAGGACCAGGGGAAAGTTGAGGATTAACTGAGGAAAGCTCGGCGTCCTGCATGAAGCCGCGGAGACAGAGAGGAGCCAAAACGGCGACCACGAGGGCCGCCGTGAGATGACAACGGACCTAGACTCAGCGGGCCTGTCGTGAGATGATAATGGCCTAGAACTCAGCGGGCTGTCCGAAAATATCCACTGTAACCTAACTAACTGTCAACATCTAGACCAACGCCTTTTTTCCTTCCACCTGGATCCCCCAGGTGTCCGGTGGCAAGCTGGTGTCACTTTGATACGACTAGAAAAGACGTCATATTTTATTACTTACATATCACATTGTTTAAATTACGATATATATGTATATATGTCTCCGCGATATATCTATAATTTACAGAATGGGCGACTTTTATAAAATACAGTAGACACTAAGTACTTGAACATATAGAGAGAGATAGATGTTCATTACTATAAGAGTCATATGCCTACATACATCTACTTGTCTTCAGATTGAATTGAATATTAGATTTTATTAAAATACACATACATGAACTATATTTAATTCAACTACCTTAAAATGTGATTTACCAACCATGAGAGAAAGAGAGAGATTGAAACTGATTTATTACAATGTCCATATAAGATTATATAAGATTAAATACATAATGAATATAAATATCAATAAATAATATTATATAATGATAAAAATATATAAATATATAGATAAAAATATATAAAATAATTGATAAATATACATATACATATATATAATATATATAAAATAAAAGGATTTAAAAGCGCGAATGTTTCTATTTGTCTATTTCGCGTTGTCATTTGGTGTCGCCAACCGCGGGAAAGACTCCGCTACCGGTGGACTGCGAGAATTCTTTCCTACAGAGTGGGCAGGTCGATAAGATGGCTGGTGTTACCCACCTCAAGACTAAGATGGTATTTGTAGATGGTAGCCTTCGCCTCACTTGTTAGCTTCACTGTCTCGGAATGGAGAGAGAAAGAGCAAAGATAAAACTAAGGCTTGTGGCGGCTAAAGAAATGGATCTAAAAACCGTGACCTTCCGCAGTACCTTAATGAGGCGATGAATTAAGGTCAGGGTATCTCTCTATCTAACTCCTGCATCAATTCCTATAACAAGGCATCTTTAAAAAAAAGTCGGTGGATGAGAGGGTAACACGCTCGATTACCGACAGTCATGAACCGGGGTTGAATCCCGCGTTAAAATTAGTTTAATATGTGAATAACCTTCACATATTATTCACTGTTTCAATTATCATGAACTAGGTTGCTCTTGCTGAGCGGTACCTATTAATGTGATTTTGAACCAGGGCATCTTATTAACTTCTTCAAATTTCTCAAGAGTGTATATCTTCATATAAATTGAGTTTTAGAAAAATAGAATGTTCTCTATGTGTGTGTTTGCGAATGAAATAAACAAAAGAGACATTTTTGTTTTGAACAGCACATTTTCATTGAAATTTCCAATATTTATAATAATTAATCTTCATAAGAAAGATATTGAACTTGAA